TATAAATACATTTTCTTCTAATGCTTATAATCACTCTTGTCTTTTTCATATTTAGTATTTCTACTTATTGTATCATTATTCTCATCTTTATTAAACAAATGACATCTAGAGGGGTGAATAGATGTACAAATTAAAATAGATATCAAATTAAAAATTTATTTTAGATGTCTAATAACTTGTTAATTCAATTTTAATTATCAGATTGAATTCGGATAAAATGGAAGCGATATAATAGGAGAGATAAAGGAAAAAATACAAGTGCACAGATATAGGAAAAATAAAAGTCAAGAGTCATAAAATGAAGAAAGAAGAGCACACACTAATAATTTATACTGGTTTGGATATAATCAACCCTACATCCAGTTTCCAGTCACTTCTAACACAAGAGTGACCTCAATTCACTATCTTTTAAATTCAGTTTACAAATTACAATCAACTCAGCAGAGAAATCAGTAAAGAGTAAACTAATTAAAAAGACAGTCACTTCCTTAGAAATTCACTAAGGATGAACACCTTCCTAAAATCACACTAGAGATGAACACCTCCCCGAACAAATCAAAGGGATGAAACACCTCCTTAGAATTCCACTAGGGATGAACACCTCCTCTGAATAAATCAAATGATGAAAAACACATTTTTTGCCATCAACACACAAAGGATGAACACATTCCTAGAATCACACTAGGGATGAACACCTCCCCGAACAAATCAAAGGATGAAAATATCTCCTTAGAAATCCACTAAGGATGAATACCTCCCTAGAATCCCACTAGGGATGAACACCTCCTCTGAACAAATCAAAAGATGAAAAACACTTCTTTTGTCACCAACACACAAAGGATGAGCACCTCCCTAAAATCACACTAGAGATGAACACCTCCCCGAACAAATCAAAGGGATGAAACACCTCCTTAGAATTCCACTAGGGATGAACACCTCCTCTGAATAAATCAAATGATGAAAAACACATTTTTTGCCATCAACACACAAAGGATGAACACATTCCTAGAATCACACTAGGGATGAACACCTCCCCGAACAAATCAAAGGATGAAAATACCTCCTTAGAAATCCACTAAGGATGAACACCTCCCTAGAATCCCACTAGAGATGAACACCTCCTCTGAACAAATCAAAATATGAAAAACACTTCTTTTGTCACCAACACACAAAGGATGAACACCTCCCTAAAATCACACTAGAGATGAACACCTCCCCGAACAAATAAAAAAGATGAACAATTCCCACACATGAAATCCTAAAATAACACAATTGATTAACCTAAACCTCCTAAACCCACAAAAGGATAAAGACTATAAAATTAGAACAATCACACCTGGTAATGGAGACAACAAATTGTAGAATCCTGTAGAATGTCAACCTCCAAGGACAAGTGTGACTGACAATGAAAGCACAGAAGACAGTAGAGAAAAAAGTTGTCAGAAGGTGTAAAATATTTATGTTGTCTTGCTCAGAATTCTTTTTTCAAAACTGATTAAATGTAAATTGAATTTTCGAATTTTGTAATTGTGTATTTTTTATTTTTCATCAAAACTCATTTAAATAGGAAAATAAGATCAAAAAATAGACGTTGGTCATTAATAATTTTATAGAGAAAAATTAGAATGTATCCAAAAACATTTATTCTTAAAAAACGGATATATTTTTCAAATTTAAACTATCATAATCGATTATGCTACCAATATAATCGATTATAACAAAGAGAAAATCGTTTTTCCATTTCTGATGCACCATAATTGATTATGACAGTGAAAAATGTTATGTTACGAAATTTTATCACACTGTGTTTTGGAAGCTTATGCATAATACCATCTCATCAACTTGTACCTCCATATCCAATATTCTAAAACTTTATCTAGTCTTCAGGAATCATCTTGAGCTTGCTTAATATTTGATCAAGAATCTTTATCAAAATCATGTCTTTGACTTGTTTGAGTCTTGAATATTGTTTATTTGAATCTTCATCAAAATTATCTCTTGGAAATATAGGGACATGTTTCACATTTTCATCACTCTCTCCCTCCATACTTTTAATCTTTTGCATATTTTTGAGTATTATATTTGTTCTCTTTATTTCTTTATTGCAGCATCATTATAAAAAATATGTTGGTGAAATATGTTGTTCCCATATTACAGCAACTAATATGTTTAAATCCCGTTTTCGTGCTATTAATTTTTTTTTTCATGTTAATCCAATCTTATTTTTCACTCATGCAAAAAAAAAACAAAAAACTCTTGCTAAAAAAAATTGTATTTAGAAACACAATTTTAATCAAAAGCGTATTTTCAAATCAAAATCGTCTCACTAACTCGATTGAATTCATTTAAAAAAAATTAATACTTTAATAATAATAATCATAATAATAATAACAACATGATATTAAAATACCAAGAAATATGTTGGGAGGTGGGACCACCGCACCGCATGACACGGACCGTAGATCTACTTCGTTCAAACGTGTTGTCGTGTGCCCAATATTCTCCCTACTTTTGTCGCCGCTCTTCAATTTTTCTACGTTATTTCCTTCTATTTCTCACATTACCTAAATACATTTTTTTTGTTGCATTTGAAAATAAGCTTTTCTTTTTATACACATCTAATAAAATTTTACTTTGCCTCTATTTTATCTATATGTCCGTTTTATTCTTTTATAAATATCAATACTATAAATAGAGAAGAGAACACTTAACTTTTCTAAATTTTGCTACTTCAATAATAAATACTTTAAATTTCAAACTTATTTTAATTAATCTTCGGACTTTATTTTTCATACAAAATCATTTAAACTTTAATTTTGTTTCAATTGAATTTTAAACTTTATTAATTTTGTAAGTAAATATATTTAATTTTAAATTTATTTTAAATAAATCTTAAAACTTATTAATATTTCATAAATAGTTTTGTAGATTTTGAGTCAAATAATTCATATTAAATATTAATTAATATTCATTATTTTTTTATAGTTCTCTTTTATAAATTAAAACAAGGATTTAAAATAAAGAGAATAACAAAAAGTAATTTTTAAAAGGTCAAATTGATTTTTAAAATATTTGTTAATTGAGTAATGATTTTAATTGTTTATGTAAAAAACTGCATTTAAAAAAAATGATGTACCTCTTTTATTGATTTATTTATTTTGAGATAGTTTTATCTATTTAAAATTATTTTAATAAAATCTAAGAATGAAAATTATAGTTTATATCCTAAATTGATAGAAGTATCAATAAATTTAATTTAAAAATTCACTTGAAGACATTAAATTTTAATTTTATTTAAATAAAATTATTTATTAATAATACAACTTTTTATGTTGTGATTTTGTTTAAATAACTTTTTCTGAAAACATTTATAACTATCATATATATAGTTAAATTTTATAATGATTTACTAAATTTGTATATTTGAAAAAAATAACTTATAATTAGTTGATCATGGAAAAAAACTTTTATTATATAGATAGTATATGCAATTTTTTTTTACACTAACAACATAGGATTATACTTTACTTTTTATTTATTAATTTCTTAATCTCTAAATTTGCTATTCTATTTTAATACATTATGAAAATCCAATAAATTTTTATAAATTAATGAAAATAAAGTTAAAAGTTTATGTGTTTATTGTGAAACAGAAAAGTATGAGATAAAAAAAAAAAAAAAAAAAGTTTAAGGTGTGTATAAACGAGATAAAATTTAAGATCGATTAAGATAAAATCAAAGTTTAAGATGTTTATGTTTACAAGATAAAAGTTTAAGACCCCAAATATTATTTTTCCTACACATTCATTTTCATCATATTTTCTACCTATTTTGTTATCTTATATATTTACTCTCTATAAGTTTAACACACAACATTAATAAATATTTATTTTATTTTAAATATATCGAATTGTATTCGGATCAGGAAGTATCCACTAATATTTGTATTTATTTCATTATTTAGACAGCAATTAAAGAGTTGACATTTCATCTTTAGTTTTAGATCAGAAATAAAATATTAGGATAAGTAATTTTATATACTATTTAATTTCAAGGTTATATATAATATAGTACATTTGTTAACTTCTGCAACAAATTATCTTAAAAATTATGTTATCTGATAGTGCTTACAAATTAAAATAAAAAATGTTAATGCCCGCATATTTTATTCTGTCGGCACATATGACAAGTTGGCTCAAGTGCATCCAACCGCGTGGACTAAACTTCCAATTCTTTGCAAATTACAACCTTTTTGTCACAAAAGAGAGAAAGAAATAATTGCAATATTGGATGATGATGATGCCCTCAATTGGATCAGTTTTATTCTTCAGTTTTGAGAGGTAATAACAGTTTCTTTTTTATTGAATATTTGTACTCTCAGTTTTTTTAGAATGGCAATGTACTTCCCTGTAATTTATTTTTATTCACTGTAGTTTATTTGTACTTTCGCTTTTAACACAGTTGTGGTGTGTTTAATAAAACTTACATCAAGATAGTTGCTTTTGTTTTTATGAGAGAAAAATATAAAGAAAACACAAATTGAATTTATTGACCAGAATCCTCATAAAAAAATTAAAACAAATTTTTATCATCAAATAATGCATTAAAAATAACAAAAGCACATTTTTATGTATCTTAATAAAAAAATTAATTTTTTTTAGTTATTTATTAGCTTTTGGAATATTTTATTTAGTTGAAAAAATAAATATGAAATAAAAATTAACTTTAAAAAGTTCATATAATTTTTTATTTTCTTCATTTCAATTCGTCCTTGTAGGCCAAAAGAATATCATTAAGGTTCAGGAATAATTTCTCCAAACCACGTCGGATGTAATTTAAAAGAAATAAAAGAAAATATGAATATCTGTGGTGACAGGGTAGTGTAAAGTGTTAACCTTTCTATCAACACGTGACTTTAAGATTAAGACCTGTTCACGGCTAGACTCTCTTTATTCTCTGCCAACCGCACTCAGCAAGAACAACACATTGCTGGTCAGAATATGGAGAACGCAGATCCTTATAGATATTTTCTAAAAGATGTTAAGCGCATCATCATCAAGGTTCTCTTTTCTCTATGAAAACTGTTATCCTTTGGTTGTTTCATTTGTGTGATGTGTATCAAATGGTTTGTTTTGTATGCATTGCTTGGACCGTAGGATGATGCAAATGGCTAAAGTTGTTTTGTATGGTTTTTAAGGTTGGGACTGCTGTGGTTACTCGCCAAGATGGAAGGTTGGCGGTTGGAAAATTAGGGGCACTCTGTGAGCAGGTTGCTTTGTATTTTTTTTTATTTTTTTTTGTGTTAAGAGTTTCTTGTTTGTTCAAGGAATAAAAATTGGATTTTGAGTTTGGCATGTGTGACCATTTTGAAAGTATATAGCAGATTAAGGAGCTGAACTCTCTTGGTTATGAGATTATTTTGGTGTCATCAGGTGCTGTTGGCCTTGGCCGCCAAAGGCTCAGATACAGAAAATTAATCAACAGCAGGTAATAAAGTTTTAATACCTTTGTTCTGTTTTGTTGCTCTCAGATGGTGCAGATGTATGGTGTATCCCTGACCGTTGGTTGAAATTGAAATTTACTTTGGTCTTTTGGGACACATTTTACAGCTTTGCTGACCTTCAGAAGCCGCAAGTTGAAATTGATGGCAAGGCTTGTGCTGCTGTTGGACAGAACAGCCTTATGGCTCTTTATGATGCTCTGTTTAGTCAGGTAATTGTTGTTAATTGATGTTCGTGGCTCAAGTGTTATCTTATGCCTGCTTTCATTCCAAATGTGCTGTCTAGATTTTTGTTTTGTTTACCCTTGATGCCATTTCATATTCCATTATTGCCTTATTTTAGGATAACAGACATTGATTTGATGTGTTCATTCCTTTCTATATCTGCCCTGCAGCTAGATGTTACATCTGCTCAGCTTCTTGTGACAGACAATGATTTTAGAGACATAGATTTCAGAAAGCAACTCAGTGAAACTGTGAAATCACTGTTAGGATTAAAAGTTATTCCCATATTCAACGAGAACGATGCAGTTAGTACTAGGAAAGCTCCATATGAGGTTTGTTAATCTACTTGTCTGATTTGTTATCGCAGCTGAACTTAATCTTGGAGTTGTTGTTCAAGCAATGCACCTTTATGAACAAATAGTGTCATTATTCTTTTATTTCTTGTTGATATGATAAAAGTTTATGCTAGCTTGAAGTAGTGTTGGGAATTATGTTTGTTGTCTTTGATGAATTTTCTGAACATTATGTGTTAACTTAAATATAGATCCTGTATAAGATGTTTTCTTGAGACTGATATGTGCTTGGTAAGTAAATTTAATTTTGAAATTTGTCCATCATCCCAACCCAACGTTTTAAGAAAAATTGCCTGCTTGTTTATCTTACAGTATGATCCTTCTCTGCCTGTCAAGTATTCCCAGCATTTGTTGAAATTTCTATTAACTTTATATTATACAAAGGGTGTTTCAACGTATGAAATTTTCCAAAAAAAAAAAAGTTCAGGTATAAGAATAAACTAGAGAATACTTGAAGTGTCACCAAATCATTCTTGTGCAGGATTCTTCTGGCATATTTTGGGATAATGACAGTTTATCAGCTTTATTGGCATTGGAATTAAAAGCCGATCTTCTTATTTTGTTGAGTGACGTGGAGGGTCTTTATAGTGGCCCTCCAAGTGACCCACATTCAAAGCTTATCCACACATACATTAAGGAAAAACACCAAAATGAAATTACATTTGGAGACAAGTCAAGAGTGGGAAGAGGTGGTATGACTGCCAAAGTAAAGGCTTCAATTCATGCAGCTGAGGCTGGCATTCCCGTTATCATTACCAGGTGATCTATTATACGATGCTACCAAGAATAATTAAAACTGAAACTTGTTTTTGCATTTTTCAAAATCAAATCTATTTACTGCATATCTGTGTCTATTCTTTAGATTTTATTTAAAGCATTTTTCAGCGTCTCCATTTTCGAATAGAAACTTTTTATTTGGACATGACATGTGAAATCACTAATTAAACTTTCACTAAACCGCAAGCAATTTTGAGAAATGGAAATACAAACACTCTTATTGATTTAATTTTGTATACCCGTTTATTTGTTCTCTCTGTTTTTTTTGTATGTGGATGACTATTTGTTGACCAGATGTTTAGTGGGTAAATCTATGTGAGACATGCATGCATACACAGTGACTGAGAAGATCACTCAATTATTTTTGCACCCTTTTTAATTTTTTGATATATTAAACAGAAAATATAATTGCAAGATCACTAGGATCCATGATTTATGCTACCTACTATCTGATTCCCATTAGTGTACGTTGGTTTTTCCTTGTTTCTGCTACATTCTTGTCTCTTTTCAGTGGTTATGCGGCAGAAAATATCATTAAAGTTCTCCAAGGACAACGTATTGGAACCCTCTTCCATAAAGATGCACATAAATGGGCCCCATTAAAAGAGGTTGATGCTCGGGAGATGGCAGTTGCAGCTAGGGACTGCTCCAGACAGCTTCAGGTTTCGATTATGCTAACCACTTACAGGATTGTGTATACTACTAAGCTGTCACTATACCACTCCTACTTTAGAATCCTGATCTCCATATCTTACATTACAGGCCTTATCTTCAGAAGAGAGGAAACAAATTTTACTAAAAATAGCTGATGCTTTGGAAGCACATCAAAAAGAGATCAGGATTGAAAATGAAGCTGATGTTGCTGCTGCACAAGAAGAAGGATGTGAACAATCCTTGGTGGCTAGGCTGGTTTTAAAGAATGAGAAGGCAAGGCAGTTCGTCTCAAGTAGGAATTATTTAAATTTTAACAGACTGTAAAATTTGTGATGATAAATCATGATGATCACTGACAGCTTGCAAGCCTTGCAAACAATGTTCGAATTATTGCAAACATGGAAGATCCAATTGGTCGAGTGTTAAAACGAACTGAGGTAATAAAAAGTTTGTTATAGCTATATATATTATGGATCATGGTAGTTTTACATTGTGCTAAGTTAAATTGTTTTCCTTTTATTTACTTATTTATTGAAGATTCTAGTTTTACATTATGTCAGTAGAAAGACTGAAATGGTTTGTGTTATAAACAAATTTGTTTAAGAAAGCTGTCTGAACTGCGCAGTGTGGGTGTAATATCTGCTTAGTCATAAAGTATACGGTTTAAAAAAGTTCTTCATGCACACTTGACTTCTAATAATAGTTACTGATCTATAATATCTCTGTCGGCTTCCTTTTTATCTAGCTTGCAGAGGGCCTGATTTTGGAGAAAACATCATCTCCTTTAGGTGTTCTTTTAATCATTTTTGAGTCTCGCCCTGAAGCACTAGTACAGGTAAATAAACTTTTTCACCACCTGTTAATACCTGGTTAATATTCTGCATCAATTTCTAAATTTTACCCTTCCTCGCCTTTATTCACATTTCTTTTTCAATTTTCTGTCTATACATGACATGCTTGGACTGCTTACATTACTACTAAGCTGTGATCAGCCCTTACTTTAAAAGAATATGATTTTTTTTTTTTGCAAATCACATGAAAGGATGAAACTTTTTTAAATTAAAAAAAAATGTCTAAATTGCAGTTCAAGGAACAAAAAGCCTAGTTTGACTACCTTTTGATTTTATGTTGTTTATCTGCATTGTGAACAGATAGCTTCTTTGGCAATCCGAAGTGGGAATGGGCTTCTCTTGAAAGGAGGCAAGGAGGCTAGGAGATCAAATGCAATTTTGCACAAAGTTTAGTTTTAAATTAAATGATAATTTGCGAACCATTTTCTTTTTAAATTATATATTTGATTTTTGCAGTCTCATTAATAAACATTTTCTGGGTAATTTTTCAACGCTGAAACTTCAGGTTATTACTGAAGCCATACCAGATTCTGTCGGTGCAAAACTTATTGGACTTGTGACATCAAGAGCTGAAATTCCTGAGCTACTTAAGGTAAATACAAAGCAGATATAATTTCTGATTAATGAACTTGCTCACTTTGAACATCGGTTCCATAACAAAATCTAGAGTCTGCATTCTGTTATTCTTTCAGTTGGATGATGTAATTGATCTGGTGATTCCGAGAGGAAGCAACAAACTTGTCTCTCAGATCAAGAGTTCGACTAAAATTCCTGTTCTGGGTCATGCTGGTAAGACCCTTCTGCTTAACATGCAAGCAAAGTGCTTGATATTATATGGTAAATCCTTTTGTCAAATGAATTTACCATAATAAGGCCACATTATTGCCAAACAGATGGAATTTGTCATGTCTATGTTGATAAATCTGCTGATTTGAAGATGGCAAAGCAGATTGTACTGGATGCAAAAATAGATTATCCAGCAGGCTGCAATGCCATGGTAATTTCTATCATTCTATGTATTGGATGAAAGTGCATGCTTGGTTTGCCAGTTATTTTTTCTTTTCAAATTTCAATTTTTAGGAAACACTTCTTGTTCACAAGGACTTAGTAGAGAAAGGATGGCTCAATAGTATTACTGTTGACCTACGGACAGAAGGTACGACTTCTGGCGAACATTTCTATTAGACTGGTGAATAGTTTCTTGAAGCTGAATTAACTATGTGTAGGTTGTAAGGTTTTCTGGAATGCTGAAATGGTTTAAAATTTATGTAGGTGTTACCTTGTTCGGAGGACCAAAGGCAAGTCCTTTGTTAAATATTCCACTGGCTCGATCGTTACATCACGAGTACAATTCCTTGACATGCGCAGTTGAAATTGTGGATGATGTTTATGCAGCTATTGATCATATAAATCTTTATGGAAGGCATGGTTCTCTTTATTTCTAGAAAATGTGTTGGAAGCACATTTCCCTTTCATCCATCTCCCTCTGATTCATTTCAAATTGGATCTATAGCAGTTATGTGGACTTGGATTGAAATTTGTCACATTTCTCCTTCGTTGCAGTGCACATACTGATTCCATTGTTGCAGAAGATCATGAAGTAGCTGATGTGTTTTTACGCCAAGTTGACAGGTAATATTTGATATATAATGTCTTCTTATTTCCTGTTACTTATCGCATTTTCTAGTTTGCAACATTTCAGTATTTTGTGTAATTTAATTGCCTTTTATGACTAAGCAATGTATAAACACAAGAACCCCTTTTCTTTTAAGCAATCAACCTCTTCAAATTTCGGCACATTTACAAAGTAGTTATTAAAATAATGTTTGCTATATTGGCAGTGCTGCTGTTTTTCACAATGCTAGTACAAGATTCAGTGATGGGGCACGATTTGGTCTAGGTGCAGAGGTACGATATTATAAACATTCTTTTAACAATCATTATCTTATGCTAAGGTTGTTGATTTAGTTCCTAACTTTCATGTCATGGGACTTTTTATAGGTTGGAATAAGTACAAGCAGGATTCATGCTCGGGGTCCAGTAGGAGTTGATGGATTATTAACAACCAGATGGTATGAGCTTGATGGTCATTAACTCATTATAATGCTTTTAGAAACAATACAAACCTTTTTTAGTGTATAATCAGCCATTTCATTCACTTTCTTAGTTGACATGCTCAATTTGAACAACACAAGGTACAAAAGCCTTACGTGAATAGATTAGATTTGCCACATACCAAAAACTACCAATAGGCTTATGTAAGGTTAATAACTGATATTACAACCATTTTCATTTGCTTATGTGCAGGATTCTCAAAGGAAGTGGACAGATAGTGGATGGTGACAAAGCAGTTAGCTACACCCACAAAAACCTTGCTATTTGATTCTTGATTTTTACTAGTAAAAATTCATGGAAGGAGGGGAGAAAAGGAAGGTCACTAGGTTGTGCTTGATTTTGTCTAGTGTGGAGGTAAAATTGTACAATTCAATAGAGGGGAAGATGTTTACGCCATCTGTTGCTGATTTTATGTTCATGATGTTGTTATACAAGAGAGTTGCTTCCCAGTGTTAGGAAATTGATTGCCTTTGTTTAGGATATTTTTAACTGATATCAGTTGTTACAGTTGTGCAAACAGTAAAAAACTTCATCGTTGGCTCCAAAAAAGTGGGAAAATGCTATTTTCTGGTTCAAAGGAAGATGGAGATATTTTTTCAGTGGAAAGAGAGGGAAGGGAAAATAATATCATCCCAATATTAACAAGAGCAAAAGTTCGAGGAGAGATATTTTATCCTTTTATTTTTCCATCTTCTGTGAACTTTTGAATTAAATAATTTTTTTTAGTAAAAATTCTTCTGTCCGTTGCATTTCACTAATTAAACGGTAGGTTAGTCAATGGCTAACACGGGGATAGAGAAAATAACAAGTAATGGAAATCATTTACCTGAACTTGTAAGAATGAGAGGAATAATATGAAAGAAAAAGCTACTTAATTAATTATTATTAAGATAAATTACAAATACAAGAGATTTAAATCAAATATGCAATTATTTATAATAAGTTACATGTTATCGGATATTAAGAAAAAATAAAAAATAAAAAATATAATAATAAGACGAGACTGATTTTTTTAACTACTGATCTTCAATGGACGGTCTAATGATAAAAATAAAGAATCCTATACAACAAATATGCTGTTAAAATTTTAATCAGTTTCAATTATAAATGAAGTGGTAATTATATTTTTATTGAGGTAACTCGATAAATATATTAATTAATTTTTTCTTCTCAACATTATGAAAATTAACATATATTCTCTCCTATTCTAAATTATTTATCTTTCAATATTAGATGAGATAAAATAAATTTAACTAATTTAAAATTTTTAGATACATAATTAGAGTCCAAACCTAGTCTACTATCATTAAGGATGATTATGATTAAAGCACATGAATGATATTAAATAAAATCTTTTGTCAAAAAGAGGTAAAAACTACTAAAACAAGATAGTTTATAAAGAAACTTCCAGAGTGAAACTAAAGCTCTCTTCGACTTTGAGAATTCTTATTCAGCTAATTAATATCAGGCTTTGTTCAGAGTTGTAGACTTTTTCCTCTTTTGTGAAATTACACGTGAATAACAGTGCAACCACTTTGGTCTTTAATTGAGTACACAAGTGATTGGAAATAATGTCCATCTTCATAATCTACTTAAAACCATTAATGTGCATAATCATTTTATAAAATATAAAGTTTGAAAGGTGAATGGTGGGTGACACCTCTTAAATAAGTATAATTATTCATAAATAAATAATATTAATATTAAATATCAATATACAATTCAATTAAGAGGCAAAAGATATAGTTTTGACTAAGTGGGCATATTGTATTATTTATTTTTCTACTAAGTAGGTGTTGAAAATGCATGGATATGATTTTGATGATGATACATGAACAAATGACTTCAAGATTAGAAGACTCATACACATTTATAATAGTTTGTAATAACTCTGTTTAGTCATCTTGAGTCTAAAAAATAGAGTCTAAAATAGTCAGCGCTTAGTTTGTTCACAAAAGTTTCATTTTCATCAAAACTGCACTTGTGATAATTGATTATCACTAAGGATAATCGATTATCCAATTAAAAATCTGATTTATGAAAATGACTCTGGAATAATCGATTATTGCTCTGGAATAATCAATTATCGTTCTGGAATAATCGATTCTTCTGGACAACTTTGGTTTTATAATATAAGTTTTTGTGATAATCGATTATCACTAAGCGATGGCGGATCTTGACCATTGATCTTGGGAGGCCAAATAATATATTATTAATAAATAATAAAAAGAAAAAAGAATATGAAAGGTTGAAAAGATAAAATTGTAGATATATAATATATTAAATGATAATTAAGTTTGAGGGAAACAAAATCATAAATTATATGAGAGTTACAAAATTGAGGAGGGGCTGAGAGGATAAAATTGTAAATATACAAGTAAATATATTAAATGTTCATTATGTTTGGGGGGCCAAAATCATAAATTACATGGGAGTTATAAAACTTTGGGGGGGTCACGGCCCCCCTCAGCTCCCAAGAATATCCGCCACTGTCACTAAGGATAATCGATTATCTAAGGTAGTTATGAATTTAAATTTTGAATTTTAACCTAATTTTTGAAAATTCTATTTAAAGGAACTCTCATGCTCTCTAAAAAGGACAACCTTTTTTATACTCAAAAGTTAAGAGTTGTGTTTGTTAAGAGAACTTTGAGTAATGAACAAAAAGGGACTTTGAAAACTTAATATGGGCAAAAGGCAATAAGAATCACTGAATGAGTTTATCAGTGAATTGAGTGTTGTGTTGTCTCTAAAAAAACTGTCTTCATCCTTTGTGGTTTAAAAAGAAGTGTTCATCTCTTATGTGACTCAAGAGAGGGTTTTCTAATCCTTTCTATTTGTAATTTGTTGATATGATTGAACTATTATTTTAGTGACTGAGTTAATCCTCTTTTAGAATGATTAACAATTAGATATAAGATCTTTTGACCTGAACCAGTATAAAATACTTGTATGATTTTCTTCTCTTGTCTCGTTACTTTTCAAGTGTTATATTATATTAAAAGAAAGAATCAATACCTTTTAATCCATAAAATCTTATAAAATTTGTTAAAGAGCTAATTTTTATAAGAAACTAACATAAACATATTGTAATATTTCTTTCGGTCTATTTTCAAAACTATGCTGCAAAGCAAATTTATGCAAAGAAAATCTATGAAATACCCATTACTCACGTGGTTAAGACATACAGAATATAAAAAGAAAAAGAAATACTTTCTACTAAATTTATATAGTTGAAATCACATATTAACTAAATTTGTAGTTAAATCATATAGTATATAAGGAGGGTATGCTCTGTAAGATTAAATTAGGTTTATATCCTCTTTTTTAAATGTTATTAAAAAAATTTAAAGATATTTGCAAAATTTATTAATCCTTGCAAATCTCTCCGCTAAATACTTTTCTGGATCATTTAAAACCATTATCTTAATTACACAACAAATATAAGTCAATTTTATATAACCAGATTTTAAGTTGCGTGATCTATGTTTGAATAATTTAAGTTTTTGGTAATTGTCTTTTAGTTCATTATTACTATACCAAAAAAAAAAAACTTCTCCACAACTATCTAAAATAATTAAAAAAAGTTAATTATACCTTTTACATAATTAAAATATATTTATACACACTTTAAATTTTTAATAGAAATTCTTTTATTTAACTTCTTTTCAAATATGTGTAAACTTATAGAAGACTTATAAGTATTTATATAATTTTTTTCCTAAACTTCACCTTCATCAAACTCCGTGTCCAAAGACTGCATCAAAATGTTTATAGGAATGACAATGTCCTTTCCTTTTCCGTTATTTATTTATTTTGTGATTCAGTTACACGGGTTGCTTCTGAATATCACGCTTCCTTTCCCCTTACTTGGAAAGCTGCTACCTTTTGGCTTAAACCGGTCACATTAGAGAGAACTTCTGCCGACATTGTTGAGAGTAAAACATGAATTCCTTCAAGCATCCATTGCGGATAAGGATTTTTATTAGTATTATAAATTATATATTGATTTCCTCTAAAAAGATATATTTTTTGTTCTTTGTAGTAACTAATTAAAAATTGATTTTAGTTTATTTTTTAATGTACATTTAAGCTCAATATATTTTAATTAAAGACGGTAGAAGTGACCTAAGTGATCATGCATATTTTAGGGTCATATTTTGTAATCGAATACTAAATTTAGTGATGACTATGTCCTTGAACATGTTCGTATGGCGAATGGAAACATGGCTACTGGACATCTTTGTAGCCGTCTAATACACCTTCTTCTTGTTGATATAATTTTCAGTTATTTTAGATTTCCAGTGTTTTATAATATATACTATTTTACGTAAATCCAACTCTCACTTTCAACATTATGTTCAAATGCTTCTTTTTGTTTCCTTTTTAATAAAATTTCTGATGATGACGACACGACAGATACTGGTGTTGCCTCTTACGTAGCCATGACAACGGCAAGTGGCGTGTTTCTCCAAACTTATTCTTGACTTTTTTAATTATTTTTATTCTTGTCGAACATAAAAATTAAAGTCTCATTTTTATTTTTATTAAGTTTCAGATTTTTTTATCCTGTCTCCTCTCAATTTATATTATTTTAAAAAATAATTATATTTATAATAAATTAATTTTACTATTTTTATATAATTTTTATATATAAATAAATATTTATAAATTTATAATTATTATTAATTAAATATATAATGTAATTTATTATATTTATATTAAAATATGTAGATAAAAAATATTTAATTATTTTTTATTTATATATATATATAATATTTATAATATTATTATTATAATATTATATTTAAACATTTGAATATTTATAATAATAATAATTACTATTATTATTATTATTATTATTATTATATATTTAAATTAAGTTAGTTTATTTTTAAGTTGTTATTTAAAAATATGAAATATATAATTTATAATAAAATATTTAATAAGTTAATTCTTATTTAATTAGTTCAAACTGATAAAATATTAAATTATTAATGTTTTTAATATTTAAAAATAAAATTTGATATATGATAAATAAGAATAATAAGATAAAAAAATATAACATAATAAAATCTATTAAAAGAATTTAATTTTGTATTTATGATATTGGTTGAAAAGATTAAAAAATAAATAAATTCATTTGAAAGATAAAAAAATGTAAAAAACTAAAAAAATAAGAAAAATAATATAATAAATTAATTAATATAAAAGATTAAAAAAATTAAAAATAGATTTAAGAAAAGTAAAAATGATAAAATATAAAAAAAAACTTTATATGTAATAAAAAAAATATTTTAAAATTTAAATATAAAGTCAGGATTAAAATAAAAATTATATTACTATTTTCGTTTTCATCACCCGACTTTTTAAAATAGGAAAAATTTAAACTTGTCCTAATTCTCAATCAATTCGATTCGATTTTTTTTCTATCAAGACAAGGATGATTCGATTTTTTTTCTATCAAGACAAGGATGACGGATCTAGATTTAATTATTATTTCTACTCCTAAGTGAGGCTAAACCTTGATTAACAAGTGTCACATTCGTCCATGAATTTCCAATTTCACCATCATACTAATGCAACAACTACATTAATCATTTAGTGCCAGATAAGATCTAAACAGGGTAACTCTTGATCCCCAGTGGATCCCACGCAGAATACAAGTAGTGCAGAACACATATAAATATAATGCCCACAGCAAGGACTGCGAAAAAGTCTACTAGTCTTTCCATTATGACATAGCCCAACTTTATCTCAAATAATTACAAAGAAATCCAGGCAAAAAGAGATAATTCATTTTAGATTACACAACTTAGGAACAGTCGACCAAGTTTATAACCTTTACAAAGACACGCACCTCTCGACATTGTAAATTATGGCATCACTCATTCTAAACGAAACTAACTTGTACAAAATGTAGGAAAGAGAAATGGATTGGGATGCGGATAAAGAAAAACAAATAAAAACACATCGGAATCAAGAACTTACAACTTCCTAATCACATGCTATGAATTGAAGACAGCAACCTCACATGACTATCTCTGGCTTCAGAATGTTTGACTTGATCTCCTTGTGGGGTAAAACTACACCACCATTGCTGTAAACTTCATCACAAACATGGACATCTTCTCCAAGGATAGTCATATTCTCCACTCGGGCCCATTGCCCTACAGTGGAATGCCATCCAATGATACTGCTGGATATGCAAGAGTGCTTTCTAATCCGAACTCCTCGCATAACCGTGCAGCGTGAAAGCCTGACACCTGACTCAACGACACAGCCAGGACCGATTGCAACATCCGGTCCAATTAGACATCCCTCACCAATATTGGCAGTTTCGTGCACAATAACATTTCCCACAATGTGCGGACCACTGGCAAGTTTAGAAGGAGAGTTTTTCCTCAGTGAGTCCAGGTAAAGTGTCAGGCCAGAAATATAGTCCCTTGGTTGTCCAATGTCCATCCAGAATCCTGGCAAGACCATTGCATATAGCTTTTTCGCTGCTGCAATATTAGGAAACACCTCTTTCTCGATAGAAGTCGGTCTCAGTTCAATTCGATCCAAAACTGAGGGGTTCAATAGGTAGATTCCAGCATTGATTTTGTTACCAACAAACAACTTTGGTTTCTCTACAAATTTCTCAACTTGCCCAGTAGTCTCATCCATCACAACCACACCATATTTCGATGGTTCATCGACCTAAAAATAAGATATTGAAAGCTCAAATCTGTATATAAATAAGAAAGTGAAAGCTCAAATCTGTATATATATATATATATATATATATATATATATATATATATATAGAGAGAGAGAGAGAGAGAGAGAGAGAGAGAGAGAAAGAGATAGATATGTATGTGTGTGTATATTCATTTCAAATCAGTTACCTTTGTAACCATTATGGAAGCCTCTCCTCCATGGGCTTTGTGGAATGCAATCATTTCTTTAAGTGGATACTCACTGATAACATCACTGTTGAGAACAAAAAATGGCTCTCCAGAGCCATCTACCAGCTTATCCCTCGCAAGAGCCAAGGGGCCAGCTGTACCCAGTGGTTCAGTTTCTTGAGAACAAGTGATTTTGATGCCAAGTTTTGCCTCGAATTCCTTCAAGAAATTCAACATAACCTGCAAGATGAAGTTCCAAAGTCAGATAAGGCTTTATTTACATTAATAATTATGAAAACAGCATAGCGGGGTGAGGAGATATGAAATCCTTACCTCTGGTTGGTAATTGATAGCTAGTACCACTTCATTCACTCCAATGGCCTTGAGAGCCTCTATCTGTAAAACAAGTATAATTAAAAGATAAATTAGTATGGTGGTACACTAAGAGTATTAAGAGAACTATACAAAAAGGATATACACCCTTACAAACCCGTATTCAAGTATGCACCAGTGCATACACAGACAGTGATGAGATGGTGAAGAGAACAAAAACAAAATGAGTAGAAAAGGCAAGAACAATTTTTTTCACTTCTTGAGTAAAGGGTGGAAGAAAATATAATCAACAAATGCAGTAAACAGCCACACTATCTACCAAAAATAGATTATTGATGTGGACAACAGCTACTGAGAGCAATCAACACTTATTAAATTTAGAGTCTGTAATTTGACATACTAAAATTGGTAAAGAAAAAATCAATTATTGTTTCTAATTCTAATATCATTTGAATAACAAATGAGGTATTTTTTTTTATCATATGAGTGTTACAAAACTCAAAAAAAAAAAAATCATAGCATTGAAAGAATTAAGCTATACTCATGGTGCTTTGTTGGATAAAATAACATGGTATGAACAATTCATCAATGTAAGAGTCAATAAATGAAAAGACAAAGCCTATCCCTAATTTACTCATGAAGTATACAGACTTAACTTTAAGAAAAAAGACTTAAAAATGCTATACCTGATGTAGAATCATGGGCTTGTTAGCAAAATCAACAAGAGGCTTGGGAACGCTGAGTGTCAGAGGCCTCAACCTTGTTCCAAACCCTCCAACCAAAATCAGCGCCTTCATTGTGATATGATGCTCTTTGTTTTTCCAGTAAATTATAAATCTAGAAGCAGATTATATATATGAATGTCAGGTCTGACGTTTGTAAAAATTAATCAACTGACAAAGAATTTGCACCTGAGGTCGTGGGACAAATGCAGCTAAGATGGTAACTGAAATGAAAAAAAAAAAAAAAAAAAAAAAGGAAAGAAAGAACAATTTCTCAAAAAAGCTTAAGACAAAAGAGCCTGAAAACTTTACACTCGTCCAAATTCTAAAAGATGCAGCAACAAGATCAATTATGTGTTTTATTACATCATAGATATAGAAAAAGGAAGTAAAATGAAGCATAAGATTTAGCCCGATATGAAACAAAGACAAAACCCAACTAGACAATGCTACTAGCTTTTAATGAGAAAGACAAAAAGACGGTTCGGTCTAGCGCAAGGTTTATTCATAAACGGTGCTATCTTTAAGAATTTCCGTACAAGGTAAACATTCATTTTGATGATAATTTCGGGATGAGGCTATTTCCTTCTTTCAAAGTAAGAAGATTTCCTGCACAACTTCCATGATGAAAAGAATCTCCACTTAAGAAGTCCCCAATGTAAAGTGCATTGCATTAGTTCCACACTAGAGAAACAAATTTTGCCAAAGAAAGGAACATAAGTTTGGCTACTGAAAAAATAAATACGTAAAACAGTGATATGCAATTCATTCCCAACAGTCACTTTTTCTACATTGCTTGCTCTATCAAGAATTGAGTCAGAGAGAAAAAAAAATGCATGAAATGGTGTGTATTATTATATTGAGCATACTTTTATACGAGGAGTTAATCTTTACGATATGACCAAATATAGATGGTTGATATTGGATTTAAGGAAAATCAAATTTGACATATGTTGTCAAAATTAACTCCTTACAAACCTTCACTTTCTCTTACACGCCTCCACTATATACACATCAAACAGAAGATTGAATTAGCTGAAATGCAATGGATAGCGTTAGAGATTTTAGTTTAGTGACATCACCATCGAGAAAAGGTCCACTCTTTTCAGGAATAAATTTCTCAAAAGGAGCACATCTTGGAAAAATACAAGGGAGTTATTTATCTAGCTGAAGCTTTTTTGTTGGTCTTTATCTTGTAGAAGCTAGCCTTTACAAATAACATGCACCATATGGATCTTCTAGATCCATTGAACCCAAGCCCATGAGATCAACCCGATTGATATCAGAAATTCCAGCAGTATTTATATTTTCATACTTTTATACAATACTTCACAAGCTTAACTTGAAGCAAAGCAGAAAATTACCGAATCCATGAAAAAAATGTCAAATTACCGAATGCATCACACCAGCACCAGATCTGATATGTACACGATTGTTTTCATGCAATTTAACACAGATTGAGACTGAAGCACAATGCAATTACACAAACACCGCGAGATGACACAACAAAACGGAGTAAATACGAATTCAAAAAAGGAGCCATGAATTTTGAATCAGAACAAACGCAAATTACATTGCCAGATAAAACATTCATCTCATTTCAATTCATGCAGAAAGCAAACAACAATACATAAATAAATAAAATAAAATAAAATAATCAAAAGACGAAGAGAACAGAATTGACCTCAGAGAAAATTGAGATCCGTCTGGGGGCGAATCAGATACCCCCAAACTCGAGCGAGTCAACCCGGTGAGTCAGAATGGGTCTCGAAGAACAACCCAACGGTTCAGTACGTGTGCTGTTAGTCACCGCTCGTCATCGTCCTTCTTTATATTCTCGCCAACCTTACATTGCTATAAACTACGCACGCTTTTTTTGTTTCTTATTCATTAATATAACTATTAATTAATTATTAATTAATTGGATTTCCTTTTCAGTCTCTCAAGGAACCTAAGGCCTTGTTTGGTGAAACCGTCGGTGCCTACGGTTTTCGCGGTACTTCTCGTAATTCATTTTCTTCTTTCTTCTCCCTTTTCACAATTCAGTATGTGACTGATAACATTAGTCGCAAAAAATTATTGTGAATAGTTTCGGTGACACTTTATTGTTCAACATAAAGTAAATTGGATAACACTTAATAATGTTATTTAGAAGAATAGAAAACAAATTTTAAAAATTTTAAGAAAAATGAAAATACATTTTATCTTTTTTAACCATAATGGTTAGTTTATTTGTCAAAAAACATATCCAAATCCAAAACCTGTTGCCATTTTTATTTCAAATGTTTTCAAGTTGTTTTAAGTTTAACTTTTTTATTTAGGAAATTCTACGTTACATAAAAACTATTTCCGTGTTGGACCATGAATAAATTTATGCACTTAATAAAAGCCTTAAATCAGAGGATAGATTTGTCTATCAATATTATAATTTATAACTCTGGAAATAAATCCCATTAATTTCTACTTTTTCTGATATTTTTATTCCCAACTATTATTAATTACTACACTATTTTATTTAACTTTTAACTTCACTTACGTTTTTAAAAGCAAATTATTTCCCATTGCATACATCCAACTCTGGTAATGCCTATTTTTACGCTAGTTTGGATAATTTTTTATTTTTTATTTTAAACGCTACACTATCAAAATACGATTTCTGAAATCTGATGCACACCTGTTTTAAGAAAAAATATATGTTGAAAAAAATACGAAAAAAAGGAACCTCTTAACAACTACTTTACGTGTTTTTATTGTGAGAGTTAATTTCACTATATATATAATAACACCTTTCTCTTTCAAATTTTCAACAGAGTTAATAAATTTATATTTGGATGCTTTTTGTGATTTTTCACGAAAAGTATTGTTATATAAGATTGTGTAAAGTTTTTATATAACTGCCATTTCATTAAACATTTTGACAAAATATGAGCAAAAGCCTTCAATTTTGCTTAAACTGAAAGAACCCTAAAAGATAGCAAGCATTCTTGGTAAGTCTTTGTGTATATATTCATATCCCCTATAAATCCGGCTATCCCTAAAACCAGAAGCTACCTTTTATAAATAAACATGCACTCAATTATTTTCAGAAATTTCTAGAGTTTAACAAATATTCATGTTCATCATTTTAAAAATATTAAGCTAGTTCGAAAATTCGTATAAAAAGTAATTTTAGTGTGATTTTTGGAGGGTTTATTATAAAAATTAACATATACTCTGATGAAACAAAAATCTTTACGTATGAGTACATACATTTTTTTTTTTCATTCTCATGATTTAATTTATGACTGGAGATACTGAAACAAAAATTTGTGGATTTAAATCTTTAGAATTGCCATTAACAGTGGTTTGTGAAAATAAAAAATGGTGGTCAGCTGGACAAGTTTCTTCTGCGTTTTCTTTAAATTGCAGTCAAAGCCATGAGGGTGTAATAAACCAAACCACGCGTTGACTTTTGGTTTTTTCCCTTTGCAAATTATCAAGCAAGTAAGAAAATTTGTAGAAATATATAACAACACTTAAATAATAGTTAAGAAAAATGTTTGGGCATATAAAATTGTTCTCTGTCAGTATTTTTTTTTTTTTTTTACATGTTTGCTGTAATAGTTACTTCTTACTTTTGTTACAAGTGAAAGTTATCCTTTTGACTAGAATTAGAAGTTTGAACCAAAAGAAATGTAAGCCTGTGAAACGTCATAATATTTCATGATTATTCTTGGAGTTGGAGGAAACTGTTGAATACAGTGAGGGATGGTGGGGAAGGTAATCTGAATGGAAATTATGTATCTTCATTTTCATGAGGGAAACTAGGCATGGCAACGGGCGATTGCTTCCCAATCCCGCCTTCGATTTTTTTAACCATCCTCATCTCCATTCTCGATCTTTGTCGGGATTAAAAATTAAGTCTTCATTCTCGTTTTTATTGGGTTTCGGGTTTTCCGTCCTTGTCCCGTCCCCGATTTATATTATTTTTAAAAAGATAATTACATTTATAATAAATTAATTTTACTATCTATTTTTTATATATAAATAAATATTTATAATTATTATTAATTAAATATACATTTTAATTTATTATATTTATATTAAAATATGTATGCAAAAGAAATATTTAATCATTTTTTATTTATAATAATATTATTATTATTATAACACTATATTCAAATATTTGAATATTTATAACATTATTATTATAATACTTGTATTCAAACATTTGATTATATATATATAAGTTAATTCATTTTTAAGTTGTCATTTAAAAATATGAAATATATAGTTTATAAGGAAATATTTAATAAGTTAATTCTTATTCAATTAGTTCGAAGTAATAAAAATTTAAATTATCAATTCCTTTAATCCTTTAAAATACAATTATTTTATTAAGATAAAATTTGATATATGATAAATAAGAATAATAAGATAAAAAAATATGATATAATAAAACCTAATAAATATAAATTATAAATAAAATAATATTAGTTACTACTAAGATTTATGTAAAATATTTAGAAAAAGATAAAGAATAAATAAAAATTAACTTTGTGTTCATCAAATTGGTTGAAAAGATTGAAAAAAAAAACAAATTGATGGGAGAGATTAAGGAAATGTGAAAAACTGAAAGGTAGGAGAAAGAATAATGTAATAAATTAATTGATATAAAATATTTAAAAAAGACAAAAAAATTAAAAAGTAGGTAGAAGAAAAAAAATTGGTGAAATATAAAAAAATGACCTTATATGTAATAGAAAAAAAAATACTTTAAAATATTAATATTTTAAAATTAAAATTTAAATATAAAGTCGGAGCGGGGACGGAGATGGAGTCGGGATGGGGATTGTATTACCCATCCCTGTCCCCACTTTTTAAAGCGGGAAAAATTCGAACTCGCACTTGTCCAGTCAACTCGGATTTTTTCCCGTGAAAATCGGGAGGGAGAGAAGTTTAATTATCTTCCCTAGAAAAACCTCGTGGAGGAGACTGACAAAAAATGTGACAAAGGTAACATTGCATTCAATAAAGCTTTGATTTCAATATAAATAAAATTTAGACTTAATCCGTTTTATAGTTTTATTTTATGT